GGGGGGGACCTGGGGGGTGCGGTTTTTTGGCGGAAAAAAAAAAAAAAAAAAAAAAAAAAAAAAGAAAAAAAAAAAAAAAAAAAAAAAAAAAAAAGAAAAAAAAAAAAAAAAGGGCATAGTGAATATCTAACATGATGAATGAAGAAAACATGCATAATAAGGCATTCAAAAAGCTTCAAAAGAGAAAAAATGGTCACTTACAAAGGAATGAGAATCAGATGGGTATCAAATGTATCAGCAACCTTGATAATGAAGAAAAAAATTAGTTTCAACCTAGACCTATCCAAACTATCAATGAAGTGTGAGAGTAAAATAAAGATACTGTCACACAGCAAGGACTCAATTTATCTCCCTATAACACAGTAAGACCCAAGAAGAAACAATATATATCAGAATTAAATGGGAAGCATAATGATAAGAAATTTCAGAAAGACAGTCTTGTGGCAGGCTTAGGAAGCAAATGGTCCAAATCAGAACAGAAAAGGTAATGGGCTCCAATAAAAATTTATTTTAAGAAGGAAAAAAAACCAGAAGATTCTAGTATTATGGTAAAGGCACAAGTTTATGTTCCCAACTACATAAAAGAAAGGCAATTAGAAACTCTAGAAAGAAACAAAGAAGTACATGAGAAAGACAATGTCCAAATAGGACCATCTTCCTTCAAGCAACACAGAGGGTGTGATATTCTACCAACAGGGAGGAAAATTTAATCCTGGCATTCTACTTGACTCCACAGTGACAAACAACTACAGAGCCATAACAAAAACACTTATTTGATTTCAAGGTCTATAATTAACTTAGAGAAAAAACATAAAGACTCAAATATATACTGCATAACGTAACCATTATCAGTCTCAACAAAATGAAAGTAAATATATATTGCATCATCATATATAGTGGGGCTTCAGCAGACACAGTTGGTAACAGGATAAAACAAGAAACAAAGAAGAATGTTACCTAAGTTTTCAAAAGTAACAAATGTAAGAACAAATACTATACGTAAGTATATTCACTTATGTGTATATGTATACAAAAAATTGGTAGAGAATTGAAAATTGGGTAGGTAACAGTGTGTTTAACAAGTCTTCATCTTTCAAAGTGGTGAGTCAATAAGTCATGTCCAAAGTTAGTAAATCAAAAAGTAGTAATATAAACATATTAGAGATATGAAAGTAACTATCTCATGAGAAGCAAGACTGGGGATCGGAAAGGGTGGAGTGGGATACTGATGATTTTTATTATGATGCTTTTTAAGGCTAACCCCGTGAAGCTAATCATCCGACAGGGCTGAGAACGTTTGAACAACCCCATGCCGATACCTCCTTCTTTCCAGATAAAGCAACTTTTTATAGTGTGCAATAATGCCTGAATTAGAAGTTGGGCAATATTCTGGGAGAAAAACAAAAAGAAGAAATCCTTTCTATAACAACATTAGAAAGAGATAAAGCATCTTTAAATATTTTAGAAAGAAATGCATTCTCCACTTGAAGTTAATAGTCAGAATACTAGCTTAAAATTATTTAGAGTGCTATTTTATAATAAATAAAACACATCAAGATCAGTGCTTTGAAAAGAGAAATAAGCTTCTCATGGATTTAAATTTAAAGAACTCTGGAAGACTGGCAAGAAATAAATGTCAAGACAGAAAACAAGAACATTTTTATTTTAAGTATTCCTTAGTAGTTGTTGCTGCATTTGTTAGGTTTACTAGTACTTGCAATAAAACTATTTCAAGGCCTATTTAAAAAATTAATCTCTTTCTCCAAAACTCTCTCTGCTAATAAAATCAGGACTTAACCTTCCTGAAACAAAGTAAGTTGCTAGGAAAGTTGGTATGTTCACATGTCCTTTGCCTCTTAATAAAGCTCAAAGGGGACAAAGAAATGGAAGATTATGGACCCTGGTTCACTCCTACTTTTTCAGGGTAGTGTTTCATTAGTCTAGGTTCAAGGTATGAAATAGAGACTCATGTAATCTTAATAGATGGAAAAAACCTTAACATCACTTCTGATCTAGATGATTATCCCCATTTTTATAAATGGGCACACCTAAAACCAGAAAGAAATAAAAGGCCTTTTGTCTCTCAGTGAGATATGCTGAGCATTTTCCATACATTAGTATTTAATTTTCACAACTCCAAAGTAGAACTATATCCCTATTTTTTTTTCCTTTTTGTCTTTTTTACTGACCGGTAACGGGATCGCAACCCTTGGTGTTGCGCCCGTACCGGGGACTGGCAACGGGATCGCAACCCTCGGTGTTGCGCCTGCACCGCGCTCAGCCAGTGAGCGGGAACCGGTCTCCACATGGGATCCGAACCCTCGGCGGGAGTGCCGCCACGCTCTCAAGCAGCACACTCTCCAGTGTGCCACTGGGCCGGCCCCTAAAA